TATTTATTGTACGTACTATATAATATTTGCTACAATTTAAATATAATATATTTTTATAAATATATAGTACAAATATATTTACTTATAGTTTGAAAAAAAGGCCAACATATTTACATATCATTTATATAGTATATATGTGTAATACTGTCATAGATGGCGTACTCCTTATCGTTGAAGTATTAAAAAAATACTATTTTTATTATATTTTAAGCTCTTAGCTTAGACCTATCTTGTTGATGGCAATTTTTTATTATTAACATTCCTAGTGTCGCTGGGATCTCATCATCACTATTGTTCCTTAATCTTTCAATTATCGTGATTGTCGACATCCTCTAGATATTAATATGCCTGGTGCCCTTAGATCGCAATTGTATATTTAAAAAAAAAATAGTATATTTATAAAAGAAAAAAATTAAATCATACTAATTTTAGTGTATTTATAAAAAAAAATTACCTCGATAAAGACCATATTAGTATTTTATTTTATAAATATTATAAAAATTAAGATGACAAGTTCATAAATTAAATTGTACTATATTGATTTTTGAAATTTTTTTATAAATACCCCAACTATTCGTTCTTGTATTCTCCTCATTATATTCCAATTTTAGAAAATTTATTATCATAGTTAAAGTGAAATTATTCTGATCAGTTAGTTTTATTCTCCTCAATGATCCTAAGCTTTTCAAACAATTTTTATAATATTAATTTTATTTGGTTCCTGATAAGTCCAAAAAATATTGAATCACACACGATTGAGTCTAATCCAAGTAGTGTTTGAAGTGATATTGCAATAATGGTATTTGGGGAGCGGTGGCTCGTGATGACTCCATGAAATGCTTGCACTTGTGTTGAAGATCTCTGCTTGGTTAGGACAAATAAAAGGAGAACTGCAAGGCACTTCGATACTTAAGTCAGTGTTCGATTAATGAGTTTAAGTAATAATATAAAAATCTATCATACATGAGCGTTAAGCCTTCTATATATAGCAACGACAAGACCTCCTTGCATCATCTTAATATGGTGGCATTCAATCCCAATGGTGAATTTAGGTACCTTCTATAGCGTATCCCGCTTGCGAGATGCTAATTAATGGGCTATGATATATAGGTCTTGCTAGATCCTAATGCTTGTCCCTAGTCATTGGCTATTGATGTTGGGATTATGATCATTTACCAAAAGTGTATTTGGACTCAGTGTATGAGAAGAGTCTAAGAAGCCTATAGTTAGGTTTCTTTGTGCTCAAATTAATAGTTCAACTTTAGTCGTTAGATGTTAGAGCTACTGAATTTTGAAACCCAGAGTGCCAACGTAGTTTCCTATTTCCCCTTGAGAATAGTCTAGAAGATACTATTATAGTTGTTTTCAACAATGAGACTTGATCGTGTAGTGACGAAATTCTATGCGAAGGAGACTTGATCTTGCTCAGAGGAATCACCATACTGACACAAAAGGGAATTCCTCGAGCTCTACGCTGCAAGAGATATAATTTTATATAACAAAGAACAATCGATCGATTCGTTGCATTTCAAACCACAATAATCCTACGCGCTTTCGCAAATCCAATTGTTTCTATAAATATTATCAGAGCCAGATTATGTATTTTGGTGAGAATATAATTCTTTGGATTTTTTCATGTAATTAATTTGTTGTGTGAAATATGACACCTAGAAATGTGTATTTGTGGATCATATGGGTTGTATATTTATCTTTTATATTTTTTTTTTGTGATTGCAATAAAATGATATTTTTTTTTGTGATTGCAATAAAATGACTAATCCTTTATAATCAGTTCCTTTAACATAACATGGTACAAGATCAATTCCTAAATTTATGTACTCTACAAATTTCATATTTTATATGCTAAGAAAAGTGCATGTAGATGTAAGTGAGTATCCTATCACCCTCAAATGTTGTGAGAAGAAAAACATGTAGTAGAGAAACGAGACATCATATTAATTTATATATAAAAGTTTACACAAACATGTATTATTTTTTACATATGTCATCATGGTCGTTATCATATAATAGAGAGAAAATAATTTTGAGGTTTTTTTATGCAATAGACACGCTTATTTTCGGGAAAGATGACGACATTACATTAATACGTCGTCGTCGTGTTTGGCAAAATTTCCTAACCGTAGACGGTAGCTGGGTCCACTAGTCAATGTGTGTCGGTGGCTTTACGACCAACTTTCTCACTAAAGTTTGTGTTTTCTGTTGCACTTTTTACATTTTACTCTTCTTTCGATAAGATTCCTTTTATTTCTTTTATTTTAAGTTTTCTTTTTGCAACAAAATAAGGGCGGCAAGATATCCTTTTTATTTATTTTTTTAATTTTATTTTTCTGAAAATTTTAAAGAAAAAAAGTGGTACGCAAGCACTTTAACCGTTTTCAGATACTTAATATCAAACCGTCTAATGCACTTTAACATATTTTATTGATATAAAGCATTTTAAACTTCGGTTTAGTGTCACATGTACGTTGAAATTTATGAGGTTTATATATTTTTTTCTTTTTATTATGTAGATTTATATTTATATATATATATATAAAGAACACTGAGATACACTACCCAAAAACTAGCTCAAAGGAAGATATATAAACTTCACATTAATTGCATATACAACCAATGTAGAACTATATATCTCAACAATATATATAGAAAATAAATTTATTATGTATATCTCTTGTAACACAAAAAGAAGGTAAGATCTTTAACATATATGTCAAACTAAAAATTTAATATCAGATATTAACAGTTGATTTCATAAATTTAACAGTTATAATTTATATATTATATTAACTATTAATTTTAAATAAATTATAACCGTTAAATCATAAAAAAAATCATCGGTTAAAAGTTTGGCATCGATACGAAAGCATCGTATCCCAATAAAAACATTAAACCTTTTAAACTTTTTACGGGTTAGAAATGATATTCATGTTATGGATAAAATCTACTAGTTAGATTGTTTTAGTACAACCTACCAGCTTGATTCGAATCCCAAGAAACTTTTGTCATCCAAAGTTCTACCTTTAGCAATTTAATCCATATACATCTCATTCATGGTTGCGTGAGTGAGAAGAGAGTTAACTTATCAAGTTATTATTATTATTTGTGTACTTCAAGTATAATAAACTAAATATAATCATGTAGGATTTACCAAATAATTATTATTATTTTGTAAGAAAATTTCCGTTAATAATGTTGCATATTTTTTCTTTATCTTTAATGATTCCTCCGTTCTAGTATCCAATGAGCATACTTTTTTTTGTCCACTTTTTAAAAAAACATATTAATAAAATTTTAAATAATGTATTTTACCATTTAAAAGTGTCCACCTTCAATTAAATACGACATTTGATATTTTACCCCATTATTTGTAACAAAATATTTTAGATGATATTTTTATCTTGAAATGAATAAAAATGGTATAACAAACAACGTTTAACTTAATCTGATTAATATAAATTTCCTTAACTAATTTGATAAAACAATTATAAACTATTTTTAATGTTTTTGGGACTACCACCCTAAAAAATTAGTCATTGCATAATCTATATTCTTTTTATAATATCAGGCATAGCAGTTCTAATGTTTGTCTCGAGACTCTACCAACATGACTTTTTTTTTCATAATCACAATTTGATAATTTATTTTTCTTTTTTATTCTTAATTTTCCAAAAAAATAAATTTTTATATTGAAATTAATTGAAATCAGCCAAGTAATAATTAATAACATAAATAATATTTATTTATATAATGATAAATTTGATCAAATTGATATTAAATATGAAATTCACATAAAATTTATTATGGTAAAATATTTAACTCCACAAATAATTTTAATTTGACTATGAAGAAAAATGTATTAATAATTTGATGATTAATAATTTCCTCTAGAGCATCTTATTATGTTAACTAGGAAATAAAAAATTAATAATAAACATTATTATTCACAATAAATTTATTTATTTGAAATTATTATGATTTTCATTAATTTAGTTATAAATTTAAATTTAATAAATTTTATGTGAAATGTGATTTCATTATTGTGCATGGTAAAGTTGATCCCACTAGTAATTTTAAAAAACTAATTGATATTCACGCGTAAAGCCCATGTTCTTTTTTTACACTTGAATCAAAATTCTCTTGATTGAGTTGGATTTCTATTTTCTCTTATAAGCAGCACCGATTGATATGCATACGCATAATTTGTATTTTACTTTTAAACTCATTCAAATTCTTTTGATTGATATGCAGACGGAGAATTTCATATTCAAACTTGATTCAATTTCTTTTGACGAAGAAAAATAGTAATTAATAATTAAAAATTAATTATCCAATTAATTTGTATAATAATTTGATTTTTCCTTCTTTTGATATCTACTAATGTGGATCATTTTTGAATTTACGAGGATCACGAATTCAACTAAATGAATTTATTTTAAATTTTTTAGAAATTATGAATTATCTTTTTATTTATTAAAAATTAATACGGATATCATAAAATTTAACTGAGTACAAAAAAAAAAATATTTACTCTATATACTTTATTTTCATTGATAAGTAGGACCGCTTGATATGCAGACACGCAAATTCTTGAAAGGTGTTTCCGAAATAATTACATCCCTATCCAAATAAGCAGTGAGCTAGGAGAGCAGTTACTCTTCCAATTCGTTCTCTAATCTCAAGGATTTTTTTAACAGAGAGAGGAGAGAGCAAAAGTCAAAGTTTGATGAATTGTAAGTAAAGTAACCCCACTCACTATGAGTATTGCTAGTTTCTTGCTACTCTCTCTTTATCTATCTACTTAAATGTAACTGCCACGTCACCGGAACTCGAAATCACAAAACACTAAAAAACGAGGAAACCCCACCCTCAATAAATGAGCCTCCCCCACAACACAACACAAGTCACTACACAAGTCCGCGCACTCTCCAAACGGATAAGACCCATTCACACCACCAATTACCAATTACCAATTACCTAAATTATTCATTTTCTCTATTTTCCCCCCTCAACACACATTCTCTCTCTCTCTCTCTCTCTGTCTCACATGAGATTCTCTATTACATGCAACCAGGGCTCCTCCCTCTCTTCCTCCCATTATAAAACCAACGAAAAACTACGACACCCAAACACACAACACACAGTCACACAGTATATGAACAAACTTTGTTCACTCTCACAATGGAGAATATCTCAGCCACAAAACACAACAACACAACCAAGCCTTCCACTCTTCATGTGGAGAGCCCTCCACCGGAGCCAAGTCCTTTGCGAAAGATCATGGTGGTGGCGTCCATCGCCGCCGGAGTTCAATTCGGGTGGGCTTTACAGCTCTCCCTTCTGACCCCTTACGTCCAGCTGCTCGGTATCCCTCATAAATGGGCCGCTTTTATCTGGCTCTGCGGCCCAATTTCCGGCATGCTTGTCCAGCCCATCGTCGGCTACCACAGCGACCGTTGCACCTCCCGCTTCGGCCGTCGTCGTCCTTTTATCGCCGCCGGCTCCCTCGCCGTCGCAATTGCCGTTATCCTCATCGGCTACGCAGCTGACTTCGGTTACTTATTCGGCGACTCACTCGCCGAGAAATCCCGTCCAAGAGCCATAGGTATCTTCGTAATTGGCTTCTGGATCCTTGATGTGGCCAATAACATGCTGCAGGGGCCATGCCGCGCCCTCCTCGCCGATCTCTCCGCCGGCGACCAGAGAAAAACGAGGTCCGCTAACGCGTTCTTCTCGTTCTTCATGGCCGTCGGTAACGTCCTCGGTTACGCCGCTGGCTCTTACAGCAGCCTCTACAAGGTGTTCCCGTTCACGAAGACTAAGGCCTGTGACGTATACTGTGCGAACTTGAAGAGCTGCTTCTTCCTCTCCATTGCGCTGCTGTGTACGCTGGCAACCGCCGCTCTGATCTACGTGAAGGAGAAAGTGGTGACTTCTGCGATTCCCTCCGGCGAGGAGGAGGAAGGTGGTTCGCGTGGTGGCATGCCTTGTTTTGGGGATATATTCGGTGCTTTCCGTGAACTTAAGAGGCCCATGTGGATCCTTCTGTTGGTGACGTGTCTCAATTGGATTGCTTGGTTCCCTTTCTTGCTCTTCGACACTGACTGGATGGGGAAAGAGGTATATGGAGGAACGGTCGGGCAAGGTAAGGCTTATGCTAACGGCGTGCGCGCGGGTTCGTTGGGTCTCATGCTGAACTCGGTGGTTCTCGGTGCGACGTCGTTGGGTGTTGAGGTTCTGGCGCGTGGGCTTGGAGGCGTGAAGAGGCTTTGGGGAATTGTGAACTTCTTGCTCGCTATTTGTTTGGCCATGACCGTTTTGGTTACCAAGTTGGCTGAGCATTCGCGCGTCTACCCTCCCGGTGTTGACCCCAAGACCAGCGATCCCTACCCTCCTTCCGGTAGCATCAAGGCCGGCGCGTTGGCTCTCTTTTCCATCCTCGGAATTCCACTCGCGGTAACCATTTTTATCATCCATTTCGTGTCAAATATTTATTACTTAAATATATTATTTAAATGACAGCTACGCCTTTTTAAGAAAAAAGAAAAAAGGATATTGAGTTTCATTTTTAAAAATTTACACAGCAACTAAGGAATATTTTATTACTAATTAAAGGATCGGTGGACGGCGGACAAAAAAAATACAAATAATTTTTCATATTATTGGAAGATGACAGGAAAAGTTAAAATACTTTTTAGCTATTTGCATTTATTTATTATTTATTTTTAAAGAAATTGGAATGCCATGCATGAAAGAAACCATGTGAATTTTACGATCACCAAGGATAGTCCTTAGTTTTTTTGTGGGTGATACTGCAGAGCGTTGGTCCCCCCACCCAATAAGAACAAAAGAGAGGGCAGTGAATTTTAAACAAATTCTTGAACTTTGCTTCTCAATCCTACAAATTTTATTTTTACTCTACTCGGAAAAAAGTGAACTTGTTTGGCTGTTGCATGTTTTTGTTTGAACTGGAAAAGACAATATATTCGACATGCTTTTTTAAGTTTTTTTTTTTTTTTTTTCTGAACTTGATTCCTTTTTATTATACACTGTCAGTTTGTTTTAATTATAATTAAATAGCAATGCAATCCTCCTGACTTTAATAGTTAATTTTGGAATAAAGGTGCAGGGGGAGGTGCTAATATTCCCTATCCTGTTTTAATCCTTTTCAGTAAAATAAAGGATACCGTCCTTTTATTTATCCAAAGTTTGAGGTCACATTTTACACACAGTTATTGTTGTATTTAATGTATTCTACTTTTGGCCTTGCAATCTGCAAACAGTAGCATAGCTTTTCCGCGATGCTCGAACTTTATTTAAATTACATAGTTACTTCTTTTGTTCTCTTCATTTATCCATTTCTTTTTTCAGAGGAAAAACAGTTAAAAGTAACACTTCATTGTGCTTGTGTTCAGATTACCTACAGCATACCCTTTGCACTAGCATCTATATTCTCTACCTCCTCCGGGGCAGGCCAAGGTTAGACAATCATAACCTACCCAGTCCAACAGTTTTACTATCATAAAGGCCATCTTAAACCAAAAATGTATAACCTTTTTATTTTTTGTTCTAATTTTTCAGGGTTATCTCTTGGAGTTCTCAATCTTGCAATTGTGATACCACAGGTTAAGATTAAATTTATTTGATAACTATTTCCATTTAATTACATCATTTCTTATATGTTTAAATCTTATTTAGTCTGAACTCTTGACTAATTGTGTGTACATGTGTATATATATAGATGGTGGTTTCTGTACTCAGTGGACCATGGGATTCTGTGTTTGGTGGTGGTAACTTGCCAGCGTTCGTGGTGGGTGCTGTGGCGGCAGCAGCAAGTGGCATATTATCCATAATCCTGCTGCCATCTCCACCGCCAGATTTGGCCAATTTGCCCGTCGGAGGAGGCTTCCATTAATCAGTGGAACATTTTCATCATCTCTCGTTTTTGTTCCCGTGGAAAAAAGAGGACGTTTTTTGTTTTGTTTTTTCCAGTCTATAAAGGCTTCTAGCTCACAACAAATGCTACAATGTGACTAAACAGTCATTTTAATTGTAAAGTTTGATGTGGCTGTGCATGACCCAGCCCTGTCTTTTATTTATGTAATATTTGGTACATTTTGAGGGGTCAGGGGAATGTACTCATGAAGTTAGTGCGCATTATGGTTAATCTATTATTAATAATATATGTGGGGAGAATCTTCTTAACTAAACAAGACTACTTTCTTCTTTCCCACTCCCTTTTCCATTGTCGTCTTCTCTAGTGATTACCGGTACTTCAACAACAATCTCTCTTATCTCCATCATAGTGAAAGGAACACTTGTGTTTATTGTCCGTTCTTTTTTACAAACTGAAAATTGCATAGATATGTCTCCAATAGGTGAGGATATAACATGTTTCACTTTGATTTTAAATTAATGATACATAAAAGGATGACGTTGCTATGTAACTCGGAAACTTCTCCGACCGACTCATTCTAGATGATGCAAAAGTAAAGAGGTTCCCTACTTTATGAGTGGGATGGGACCCATCCCTAGTCCAGCATCCGATTCTGATCTGTAATTCTTGCGTCCTGTCAAGCTTTCCCCCCCTCCCCCCGTAAATATCAACTACAGTCTTATGATTAACTTGATTGAATTATTCAATATATGCCTCCACATCTTTTACACCTCCCCATGCCTTTAAGGAAATTTATTCCCTTTTTAAGTGTTACATTTTTCTTCGACGGGTACGTACGTGGAACATGTTTCTATGCGTTAATGTTAGATATGGGTATATATTAAGTATTCACATGTTACACTTATTCTTAATTCAATTTTTATATAAAAAAAATGTTTTGATCTCTATTTCTTATACGTGTAATCAATGTTTTGAGTTTCCCATATAAAAATCAACAATGTTTTTTTTTAAAAAAAAATAAAAAATTCGGGTTTAGAGTTTCCCATGTGAAAACCGAAACTTTTACGGCATGCCAAGTGGCACTACTATCCGAGTCCCTCTCAAATTGCTATAAATGGGTGTCGTTAATTTACATTTCACTACTGAAAAATTCTGCAACTTCTCTCGTTCTTTTTCATTGCAACTTTTTTTTATTCTTTTTCACTGCAACTTTTCTTCACATCAGGGCTGCTACTTTTCTCTGCAGAGCATTTTGGTATATGAAACAAAAGTATTACATTTTTCAACTCTACAGCAAGTATAACTTTTTTAATTTCGGTCCTTTTAAATTAATCTATTTTAGTTCATATAGTGATTATTTTTATTAGTTATCAGATGCAATTATTATTTTTTCATGTGCAATTAATTATATTTAGATATTTGACGTAATAATTGTTCATTGATGAGTAGTGTTTAGTATTTTAATATGTAATTTAGAATAATTAATTTGTATTAATGTTTACGGTTTCTTTTAATTAGTGAATAGTTTTTATAATTTTTTAAATTAAATTTTTTGTGTTATCCTAATATAAGCAATATGTAATTAATAATATATAGAGATTTTACATAATAATTATTTTTTTATGTTCATGTGTAATTAATTATATTTGGATATTTGACAAAATAATTATTCATTGATGAGTAGTGTTTAATACATTAATAATGTAGATTAAAAAAATTAATTTGTGACTAATATTTACTGTTTCTTTTATTTGGTGAATAGTTGTAATAATTTTTTAAATTAATTTTTTTGTGTTATCCTAATTCCTAACATATGCACGCGTAATTAATAATATATAGAGATTTTATATAATAATTAATTTTTTATGTTCATGTGTAATTAATTATATTTATATACTTGACATAATAATTAGTCATTGATGAGTAATGTTTAGTATTTTAATAATGTAATTTATATAAATAATTTGTGATTAATATTTAGGGTTTTTTTAATTAGTGAATATTTGTTATAATTTTTTAAATTAATTTTTTTTTTGTGTTATCCTAACACAAGGCATGTGTAATTAATAATATATAGAGATTTTACATAATAATTAATTTTTTATGTTCATGTGTAATTAATTATATTTAGATATTTGACATAATAATTAGTCCTTGATGAGTAGTTTTTAGTATTTTTAATATTATAATTTATATAAATAATTTGTGATTAATATTTTAAGGTTTCTTTTAATTAGTGAATTTTTTTTATAATATTTTAAACTAATTCTTCTATGTTATCCTAACATAGGGATGTGTAATTAATGTATATAGAGATTTTTTTATTTTTTTTTGATAACAATGTATATAGAGATTTTATATAATACAGGATACCAAAAAAATGAGATTTTATATAATACTTATTGGTTAATCAGTAGTGTTTTGTAATTTAATAATATAATTTAGAATAATTTATTTGTGATTTATATTTAGAGTTTATTTTTATTAGGGAATTGGTGTTGTAATTTTTTAAATTATTTCTTTTGTGTTATCCTAATATAGACATTGTTGGACAAGTGCCTCAAACTCAAGAAGGGAAAATTGAATTTTAATTGGTACCAATTTGCTGGCCCCACATGAATTCAAACTATCCCCATTAATAAATACTGGGTATCGAATATCAAATAAGAAAATTAAAGGGTCAATAATCTCCATTTTGTCAAAGAGCTCATAGTGACTCTATATTTTAGTAAAGTAACATTTTATGAAATGTTGGAAGCAAGATGCTCATTTAATGATTATATATATATATATAAAAGAAAATATTCTCTAATCATGAAAGAGCCATAACTATTTTACCCCGTGAACCCCATTGTAATGCATGAGGCAAAGACATCTCCCAGACGACGTGAATGAGAGGTGGGCTGTGAAGGGTATAACTTATAGAGAAATCATACTCTTATGTTGCATAAGATGGATCTCTCATGTTACTCTCTCTTCGAAAAATGTGCCTCTCTTTTTTCTTTTTTTCTTTTTTCTAAAAGTTGGTGAGGCCCACTTTAGTTGTCTCATAACATAAGAAAACTTCTCTCATACTACATGAGAGAAGTAATCCCCTAACTTATAAGACATCTTTTGTTGTGATGGTCTAAATGTCTCATTAAGGCAGGGAGTGACCTTTTAAATGGCCTATAAAAGCAAACAAATAGAAACAACGAAAACAAGCCGAAGAATTGAGAATTTTTTCGCGTATTTCACTGTTCTAGCTATATTATAGGATCGATTGATAACTTTAAATTTGCCTGCCATTCATGAAAATAACTTTTTCTCTGTGTTTTTATTATTTTGAGAATAGAAAAATTAAAATCAGACCAAAAATATCTTAGCAATGTTCTCTAATTGCTGTTCTAAAATCTAGAAATCAAATGCTATTCTCAGAGTTATTTTTTCAAAACACTCATTATCAAACTAATTTTTTTTTTTAAATTAACAAGTTCTTTTATGAAACAGAAAACAGGCCCAAAATTTCCACCGCATGGAGCACTAAAGCATAAATAACCCAACAACTTGTTTTATAGCAAGTTTTTTTTTTAAAGACTATCGAGGCACCCTTCCCATGGTTATGAATTTGGGCTGGCCTAGTGTGGGTTAAGCTAAATAAAAGTTGATCCATATTCAGATCCGTTCATTTGTATTTAAATATTCAAAATTAATCATTTTAAATAAACTTAAAAATAAAAAAAATTAGTAATTATAATAATTTAAACTCACTAGTTGGGATGGATTAAATGAGGTAAATATCAATTTTTTTTTTTTACTTTTGTTAAATCTAAGTTACATACTTTATCCAAATAACCTCTCCTTGAATAATCTCAACCCCAGTTAAGGTTAAGAAACCCATTTGAAAAAAGAAAAAAGAAAAAAGAAAAGAAAGAAAGCCATTTGAAAAGTAGTATATTTCTACTATTGCTAACTCCGGAAATCCACCAAACTGGTTCAAAGAAACGTAAGACTGAGGACGAAGGGGACCAACTGGTTTTGTAACTTGGTCATCGCACTCCATTGTCATGTTTTATCTCTCTACTTTCTCTCTCTATAAGGGAGAGAGATAAAACCCTATTCCCCCTTCTTCATCTTGCTCCACTATGCCAGTGCCTCCCAAACCCATCAACACCTTCACCATCACAATCATGCTTGCCTTCACCTTCATCCTACTCTTCTTCTCCGGTTTCCTCCACTTCCCATCCGTTTCGCCCTTGCCGCGACCCATCGACCGCCCCGTGATTTTAGGGACCGGAACCGCCGCAGAATCCTTCACCGATCTGGTGGTTGCATTCAGGAAATGGGACTCGCAAGTGGGTTGTGCTCGGTTCAAGGAGAAAACAAATGGGGTGGGCTTCAATCAGTCAAAGCTTGCTTCTTTGCAAGAGGTTGGGGGTGATTCGGCTTGTGGGGGCTTCACGATGAACCATGTTAGCATTTTGGTCAAAGGGTGGACTTGGATTCCTGATAATTTGGATAACTTGTACACTTGTCGATGTGGGTTGAGCTGTTTGTGGACCAAATCGCCGGTTCTTGCCGACAAGCCTGATGCTTTGTTGTTTGAAACATCTACACCTCCGAATCAGGTAGGTTTCTGGTTGAAAAATTTCACTAGTTTCATTAGATTAGGTGGAAATCTAAATTTGAATGCTAGTTTTCTTCACAAACTACATTTTGATATGCTTGATTTGGCAATGATGGTGGGTCTTTTTGAGTTGAAAGGTTTGTCTAGAAATTTGAAATGTGCTGTGTTTGGAAAGGACATGACTGATTGAATGGTGTCTCTGCTGTGGCAGGGTTGTCAAGGACCTTGACTCAAGGTGATCTACCCTGCCATTCCCAAGTTTTATCTTTTTTGTAATTTGTTTGAGCATCAGTCATCTTAAATTGATGTAAGACTTGAAATTGGAGTAGATCTGGGTCATTGGCAAGTCGCATTGCTAGCTGAGAAGTATATGTTCATAACTGAACTAGCTGGGATTGTGTGTCACTCTTTTGTAAAAACTAAATTTATCTTCTGATTTATAAATATTTATAAGAGGACATGATGAACAAAGGTTCATTCTTATGAATAGGAGGAAATTTATTATTGTACAACTACAACTAGTTACGATGTGCAATATGATGCATTGATGGTACTTTTGGTGTACAAGGAGTGGTAGTCGTGGGAAGCTGCTGGTGGTAAATGGTAATGAGGAGAATTATCTTTTTCCGCAGATACTGAGAAACTAAGTCTATAATTTTTTTCTTCTGCTGTTGTAACCTGTGATCAATAACTAGAAGGAGATAACATTGCTGTTTGGAACTGTTGAAGTTTTAGGGTTTTAAGTGGAGGAGGAGGAAAAGAGAGAATAAAAAGGATAATGAATAATATTAGGTTATGTATATTGATGACTTGACGTAATGTAATACAAAAGACAAAACACTAATCTGTATGCATACTAATAGTAGACTCTTAATTTCAATTAAGGAAACAAATCATGAAATATAGAAACACTACTCAGAGATCATCTATGATGTTTTAAAAGTATTCTAAAATTCAATAATGATATTATGAGATATGTTTAGATATTCTAAGTTGAATGTTCTTCCCTTTCTCATGCTTTGATAGCGTGAGGGACAAATAATTTGCTAAGCATTCTGTTATCAGCTTTTTGAGGTGGTGTTATCTGGAATTATGAGATGATTTTTACGGGAAGATTAGGGTAATGATCTTGCATTTGAAATTTTTAGTAAAGCATCCAAAATTGTGCTTGTATGCCCTTTATTGGACTTCCAATAAGCTTGCATTAGCATGTGATATAGATGTCTGCTACAATGGTTTCATAGCAAGGATTATTTGCTAGAGTAGGATGGGTAGGTATCACTTCTTCATCACGATTATCCAAATTTTTATTTAGGAATGCTTGGTAGATGTAAAAACAGCAAAGAATAGGAAGGGAGTCCTTTTATTTCAGAGATTTCTCAAGTAAAAGGGCTGTATTTTTTATTTTTGTTCCTTTATGTGTATACCTCCACCATTGTACCATTTGGGGCTTCATAGTAGGATGAAGTTCTTAATTTCATTTACAGCTTAACCACAGCCGTCAAAAGATTCTGCTCGTGATGATGTTTCCTCCTCTCTGTCTTTCTCTCTTTGTTTTTTTTGTTTTTTTTTTCAATGTTATTAGCTTTATTGCCATTTGGGTTGTGGTTGGGTCTGTTTTTCTTCCATTTAGTTAAACTATGTGCCTATGGTTGTAATTCTATTTTTCTGTTGTCAGGGATCAAATTTAACAAAGTCAATAGCTAAGATGTCTTTTGGGTTCAGTTGTTTTGAAATTCTTTTAATTCACAGAATAAATATAAGCAACCATAATAAATATGAAACAAGGTGAATTTTATTTGGTAGTATAAATGTGGTATATATCTGCACTGCCTTATATGGCTCAAGACATTTATTAGTTTGAGCCTTCAGGGTGTTTAAACGTGGTTAGCAACATGCTTATAATATCCACCACCAATACTGAGTTAATTAGCTTGATACAATTATTTCTCTCATCTTCATTTTCTTCTTTATTAAGGATAAGGGCATTTTTGTAGAAGAGATTTACAAGCACTTCCTATTTTAAGCTGTTCAAAATCCCACTGTCTCCTTAGTTTTGTACTCAAGGTGTTTTATTGTCTATCCTTCATGCATGGTTGTCTTGCAGAATGCATGTTAGACTTTCAAAAACATTTGGCTGATACTTATGCAGCGGTATTGTATTTGGCCCACTTTGTTATGGCTTTTTATTTATTTTATTTATTTTTTCAGAGACACAAGGGGGAACCGCTTCGTGTATACATGGATCTCGAAGCTGGCCGAAAGAGATCAGGTCGAGAGGATATATATATTAGTTATCATGCTGAAGATGATGTACAGTCAACCTATGCTGGTACTCTGTTTCACAACAGTCGTAACTATTACATCTCCAACAAGAAAAACAACGTAAGTAGTTTATTGAGAAGATAATTAAATGACAGATTAAGAAAGAGGGACTCATAGTAACCTAACCCAATTTATCATTTGTAGGAGAAACTTGTTTATTGGTCTTCATCACGATGTCTTTCTCAAAGGGATGAACTTGCAAAGAAGTTCCTTGGCTTGGTGCCGCATCATTCATTTGGCAAGTGCCTAAATAATGTTGTGGCTCTTTCTTTCTATCCAGAATGTGCATATGATGCCAACGTTGAACCAAAATGGTGGGATCATATACATTGTGCCATGTCTCACTACAAGTTTGTTCTTGCAATTGAGAACACTTTTACTGAAAGTTACGTGACGGAGAAGTTATTTTATGCCTTGGACTCTGGTGCAGTTCCCATCTATTTTGGTGCACCAAACGTCATGGATTTTGTTCCTCCACATTCAATCATAGATGGTAGTAAATTCAGCTCGTTGAAAGAATTGGCTACATACGTGAAGGCCGTAGCTAATGACCTAGTAGCCTATGCAGAATACCATGCATGGAGAAGGTGCGGTGTATTGGGTAACTATGGAAAAACCCGAGCAATGAGCCTTGACACATTGCCATGCCGGTTATGTGAGGCTGTTAGCAGAAAAGGTGGTAGAAATGCAAGAAGCTAGGTTGCAACCTGTATAAGCGCACACTTGGTTCACTTATCCAAGTCATTTGACCGAAAAAAGGAAATAAAAATCAAAGCAAAGTTACAGAAATATATCATTATTTTCCCCCTCATTTCTGATAGAAAGTTGTTAATGCTGCTATCTCCACCTAGTCAATCTAGACTACACTATAGTTAGTTGATTTTATGATGTATAATTTTTAAGAAACGCGGGCATATGTCAACTTGCAATGAGTATGACAATTCATGAATGAAATACAAACACCAACCTTCATTCAATTGAAATGGCGTATTGGACCAGTTGGAACAATAATGTTTAACGTTATATGAATACTTGTAATAATTGAGCAATTTTGCATAAAATAACAGCGAACGATGGAACCTGTTTCCACTCCAACACACCCTCGTCCTTTTCATTTCCGGCCACTAATCGAAACAAGCCTATTGTGGCTACGGGATAAATGAGTTGGGTAAGGTTAGACTTTGGTTTAAATAGCAGACTTATTCCTAAAATAAGTGAGTTGAGGCTCAAATAAGAATAAGTCTGATTTATTTAAACCAAAGTCTAATCTTATCATGAACTCACCTATTAGGTTTATATAAGCTAGATAGCCTATAGTAAAAAAGGATATGATATTATTTCTATATTTTTTCATGTCTTTTTTTTTTTTCAATATCATTAGATTATTATTTCAGTCGAATTTCACATTTTCTCTCTCCTCCCATTATATGTTAAAATTGCGATCTAACAGTGTTGGAGAAAAGTGGATAAAATAAGAATTGAAAAAGGTGGACATAATATCTTATCCCATTAAAAAATAAAACGTTCCACATATTAGTTTATCAAACTTTCAATATATATTAAGAATAATAAAATATAAATAAAATAATATTTTTTTTAATTTAATTATTAAAATATTATTTTATTTTATTTTAATTAAAATAAATAATACGATATAAACTTTGTAAAAGTAAGCTTATGATCTATTTTCTACATGAATTTTTTTTAAGACTTAAACCTATTTTATTTTACTAAATATATTAGGTTAGATCTGACTAGATCGCCCTATATGCCCTTGATAAGCCTATTGCCACATTTATACCTCTAATTGTGGCTAAATAATATTACAACCAACCCATTTCTTTGTTATTTTAAATTAGGGTTTGCTTTTTTTTATAATTACTACATATAAATTATCTGCAGAAACTCCAATACGACGTCATTTTGGGTGGAAATAATAGTATTTTTAATTTATTTCAGGGTTGTAATAGTCTTTATATTTATAATTTTTTAAGATTTTAATATCAAAACAATATCGTTTTAGGAATAAATATAGATAACTTATCTGCATTAATAGTAGAAATATTTTTCTTTTAAATAAAGAAAAAAAAGAGAGAGAAAGAAAGTAGTATTGGTCTATGGACTATGGAGTTGAGAACCCGACCCATTTATTCTGGGACGATCCATTTCCATTGGCTCTCTCCAATTCAACGGTCTCATCTCATATAGAGCAGTATGGCTAGGGGTGAAACTGGGCCGGGCCGGCCCACAGGGGCCTACAGCCCAGTCCATTAGTGGCCTGACCTGGCTCGGCTTTTTTACTTGACAGATTTGACTTGAGCTGGTGTAAATGTTTGATTACATAATTGGGCCGGATTTTTATATATGAAGCCTGGCCCACGAGCCTCTGGCCCATTTGTTTAATATACTAGAGTTACTCCTTAGTCTTACTCCTTAGTCCTACTCCTTAGGTGGTGTTTGGTTTAGGTCTTTTCAATATTTTCCCATCTATATGAAGTAAGGTTTTTAGAAAAGCAACATTTGTTTCAACAGATTTTCTTCAAATCTCTATCTATGTAATTTGCATAGCTTTCCCAACTTTGCCTGAGAAACCCATGTATCTGCACTATTTAGAAAGCAAAATTGAGGGTGGTTTTTTTATGAAAACTGGGTATGCTACTGTTGCTACACTTTTTGGACACCCATTTATACCCTCTGAAACCATAACCAATATGCTATACAAAAGGCTAATTTTTGAACTTAGTTGTACCATGCCAGCGAAACAAAACATTTAAACTCAGAGGTATTTTTGTCATTTCAGATTATTTCTCCATCTATATCTTACCTCCAACCAAACATACATTTTCTAAAAGTTACCTAATTTCTTCAGTAAATTTTTTTCCACCAAACAACTTTTTTTTTATATTTTCCTATCTATCTCACTTTATATCAGTTTCTTACCATTTCTCTATCCATTCTATTTCCTTAGTTTTCAAAAAATTTCTCAAACGTGCCGTAAGTATTCAATTCTATTATCTTGTAGGACGGCACCGTTACACGCTCCCGACTCCCGAGTTACTCTTTCTTGTTTCGGTCTTTTCTTCCTCTTCTTCTTCGCTCCGTCGGTGTACATCTCATACCAATTCGTAAGTTGATTCTGCACTCAGTCCTCTGTCTTTCTTGTTGTTATTAATTTTTTTTTTATGATTAGGGTGTTGCTATGTTTGTTGGATCTTTGGTGATTGTAAAGATGATTTTTTTTTTTTTATGTTACGCTATCTTGACCGACGCATGATTTGGGTTTGGTGGTGGAGTTTGTGGGTCTTAAAAAAAAAATCTGAAAAGAGGAAGGGGGAACAGTGGTTGGGTTCGAAGGATTGGGGGTTGGGTTTGTATGATGGTGGTGAGGCGGTGAATGGTGGATCGGTTGAGGGAGGCTAGCCGAATGTGAAAATAATGGCTGTGGGTGGCGGTGGTTTGGAGGATGTGGGGCTGGGTATTGGTTGTCGGTGGCTCAAGGATGAGGATGGGTTGGTGAAGGTTGTGGGGTTGTCTTCAATCCGTGTACGTGCAACTCCATATGCACTATTGATGATGAATAATTTAATGATAAATAAGAACTTGTTGTAATCCTATGTTTTCTTTCTTCTTTATATATACTATTACTCATTGTAGTACCATTGCTCTTATTTTTTAAGTATAATTTCTTTGCGTATGCTGCAACTAGAATTTCATTTTTCTTCATATTCAGGATAATACATACTGAATATTCATTGATGTGATATCTTAAATTGCTTGTGTTTGCTTATGCTTTCATGTAGTTATTTTAATTTACATAGTATGGATTGACTTCTTTAGTTATTGTTGTGATTCATGGTTCTGTTTGGATGTTAAAATTGTCATTTTTATTTTAATAATAGAATTTGAGTATTTTGTGGAGTTGATTCATGGTCTACTTGGAAGTTAAAAATTAACAGGCTAACGGGCCGGGCCGGGCCATTTGTTTTTTTTATAAATGGGCCAAGACAGGCTAACAGTTAGACTCATATTATGCTATCGGGCCGGGCCAAATTGAAATTTTTTGACATAGGCTTGGGCTGTACGGGACAAAGTTCGGTCCAGCCCAGCCCACTTTCACCCCTAAATGTATGGCACTGGGATGAAGAAGCAAAGCGGTTCCAGACTTCCAGTCTCACACTGTTTTTTTTTTTTTATAAGAAAAATATAAAATAAAATAAAGGAAGCCCATGAGACTGGCTTTGAAAACAGCGACTAGCCTTGTTGTGCTACTTCCCAGACCGAAGCTGAGTTGTTTGTCACTGACACGAACCGTCGTTGTTCCTCTCCACTCTCACCGTCCCGCCAAAACCCTTGTACGAACCACAACGCCGTCGTTTCAGAGTTGCGTATGCGCACCAATGTCTACGCAGCAGGTTTTCCATGTTCGTGACAAGATTGAACTCTCCGACACCGAGAAGAGCATCTTCGATAGGCTTCTCGCCACTCTTCGTCACTTCCAACTCCAAACTCAGCTCCGAGTCGCCGGTGGCTGGGTTCGCGACAAGGTCCTCACTAACTCCGAAAATGGCTAGCTAGCCCTAATTCATTGTTTGCTTCTTCCATTGATTCGTTTCGTGTTTGATTGGTTTTGCAGCTTCTGGGAAAAGATTGTTACGATATTGATATCGCTCTTGACAATATGATGGGTGCTGAGTTTGTGTATAAGGTCAAGGAGTACTTGTTGTCCATTGGGGAAGATGTACAGGGAGTTTGTGTTATTGAGTGGTATCTTTCTAATTTATTCCCTTTGCACTTTTTCTTTCCATCTCCATAAATAGTGCTTTTACATAACAAGGTTTTCATTGTCAATTTGGCCAGTTTAACTTACTTTAGTAAAATAGCTAATAGAAATTACATGTTTTGATATCCATAACAACAAAATTACTACTAGTGCAGTAGTGCGTCATAAATTGAAAAGAAGAAGAAGAGTAAAGTAATGCAATGTTTAGAAGTTAGATAATTGATATCTAAATCAAGCAAATCACAGCATGATTTTCATTTTTCGAAACAAATTCGTACTATGCATATGTAAGTAAACAATTCTTAACATTAAAAGTGAGAAAGTTTAGCATAATATTAATTTTTGAATTTGATGAGTATTACCGAGTTTGACTCGATTGCATGTTACGAAGCGGAGTTGACACATTCTTGTCACTAGTGTTAATGAACTAATAAACTCACGAGTTTGACAACCTTGCTTAATACATACTGTTATGCTCTGCATTGGTTTTCAAAATTTGTGATATAGTAACAGTATACTTGGGAACAATGAAGAAGTGATCGAATTTTTTTTTTTTTTTTTGTTTATGTGGTTACTGGTGCAGCCATCTGTGGATAATTTTGGGGTCTTACTGTTTAGTCTCCATTTTTCTTCTTATTCTTATTTTTCCTTTCAAAACTATCTCTTCGTATTCTTATTTTTCCTTTCAAAACTATCTCTTCGTTTAGTCCTCTGGTCATAAATTCCAATTCACATAACTTTACAACTGGGAATCACAGGCATTAATTGTATGTTTTGGTTGCATTTTTGACCTTTTTCAGAGAACATTATTTAATTACTCTTTTTTGCAGTAACCCTGACCAGTCCAAACATTTGGAAACAGCCAGGATGCGTTTGTTTGATACATGGATTGATTTTGTTAACCTAAGAAGTGAAGAGTACACTGAGAACAGCCGCATTCCTTCTAAGGTATATAATTTGCATTCTATAGTTCAGTCTTCAGGTTTTCTACAGATTACTTATTCTGCTGTGCTTGCAAATTTGCATAATGTGTTTTTTTTTGCTCAGAATTCCTTCCATTAGGTTTCTTTTGTTTGGTTCATTTTGGTCATATAAGATGTTTTGCCAGTTTCTTCTAAGTTGGAATCACATGCATGTATTCTCAGTCAGTTACATGCTTAAGAAACATGATGTCTGATCATTATGAAGTTAAATTTCCTCCATTTTTTGCACTTTTGCTTGGTATTTAAGCTAATTTTGTCCCAAGGTGAACATTTATATAATTATATTCTATCTGCCATTTGGAATTTTTGGTCCCTTTTTTCCCGTATCTTAGTTAAATTCTGCAGAATAAAGTTTACTTAATGCCTTAACAGCAAAGATTTGGCACAGCTGAAGAGGATGCATATAGGAGGGATTTGACAATTAACAGGTATCTTTCTGTAATTTTGTTTTTATCTTTTTGTTGAAAAAAGAAATATTATATAAGACAAATAAAAAAGAAAAAGACAAGGAGAAATATAAAAAGAAATGTGCTTAACATTTCAAGTGTTTATCTGCATGGAATGATACAATTAAGAAATATGCTGGTCAATTTCCTTTGTATTTATATGTTTGTTTGAGTGTTATCTAATATTCACCTCCTTTTGCACACATTTAGAAGATATTTTCATAAAAAATTTAGTTGTGCATGGCAGCTTATTCTACAATATCAACACTGACTTAGTTGAAGATTTCACTAAGAGAGGTTAGAATGTATATTATTTCCTAAACTAGTATTTTAAGAGCTACTTGTTTGTCCATCCAATAATCCCTTTGGGACTTTGCAGGGATCTCAGACCTTAAGTCTGGAAAGATAGTGACTCCTTTACCTCCAAAGGCCACATTTCTTGATGATCCATTACGAGTTCTTCGAGCCATTCGATTTGGTATATTTTATTTTCATGATTTTTTTTTTTTTATATATATATCCTGTGAACCTTTTGTCCTAGGCTTTTATGTGAAGTTCAAGCTTATTTTCCCGCTTTATTGAAGAGACATATTTTATTATTTTTAGGTGCAAGATTTGGATTTACTCTAGATGAAGATCTGAAAGGAGCTGCTGCATGTGATGATGTGAAAGATGCTCTAGCTGCTAAAATAAGCAGAGAGCGCATTGGAACAGAGGTATGTTCCAACTCTTCCATTCCTTCAGTAGAGATAGCTTAGAATATATATATATATATATATATATATATATATATATATATATATATATATATATATTTTCAATTTTGGAATGCTAGTGGAACTTCTTATTATGAGGAAATTGCTCAATTTTTTGTCTGTACTGAAAATCTAGCCATTTATGCTCTTACCTTTATGCCTCTGTTTGTAGATTGATCTTATGATATCTGGAAATCAACCTGTCAAAGCAATGACTTATATTTGTGAGCTGACAATATTTTGGATTGTGTTCAGTCTTCCTCCTGAGTTTGAACCTGCCATTTCAGATGGATGCGAAAGGTATAGTTCGTAAATAAATTCATAAAATGTTTATTGATGGTTTGAAAGGTGCAGAATGATTGCGAATCCATTTATGAATGACAATGACATCACATCTTCTGCAGAGTAAGAGTTAGCTGGATATTATTGCCGCTTTGCCAGAAAACAAAAGTTAGTTAGTTGAGTGATAACAATCATATTTGAAACAGTATACCTGTTGAGATGTGTATAAGTGTATTTACATACGATGAAGATTTATCATTATTTTCTCTCCTTTTTTTCTTCTCACATTTTCTAGTGACTGGAGCCTTTCATACAATGTTGATATTTTATTGAGCCAATGTATAGGAACTTGACTGAAAAAGATGAAAAGCATAAAGTTGATATGAGATGGCATTAACCAGATTATACTTACACTTTCAGAAGTCTCGACAACCTGATTTAATAACCAGCGATTGACCATTAATTTAGTTTGTAAACGTCATGTTTTAACACAAATGTACAATAGAGGATGTAGCTAGTTCAGAAAACCAGATACAATATAAAAGTCTTGATTACCATCTAGTCTCTAGAATAAAATCAACTCTGGTAAAGTTATATAGACATGGCTGGACAGATATAAAAATGAAGTGCTGAAGACCCACAAAACCTGTGAAATAAGATTCGACCTGACTTATATAAGATTGTACAGAGCCTTCTATGATGGCAGAAGTTTAGGAGAAGGAAATAGATACCTAATCTAGATTCTGGAAGGCATCTGATATGACCCCGGAAGAATAAATGGGAATTGGATCAGAGCTAGTTAGATGGTTGGATATATTTAGTTAGTTGTTACTTGTTAGTATCTATTGAGGTGATAGGTAGTTAGGCACAGGGGTTGAGGCTTAAATAGCAGAAGCAAGGTAGGAGGGAAGTATTACGGAATTTAGATTGGAAAATTGAGTGAAGGCTTTGGTATAATTCAATAAACACTACCAAAGTGTTCTTCTCCCTTTCCTTTCTCTGTTTTTCTCGTCTCAACCTTTGAAAACTTAAAACCCATTTCTGGGTTCTTGATGGCAGTAAGGGTGTCTTTAGTTTAGGATGGTAGCGTCGTGGCCTGAAATCATTCACTGGATGAGTTAGAAAAGTTAAGGTATATTGATTTGCTAGAAAAGTTAAGGTATATTGATTTGCACAGATCAAAGATTTTTTCCTGTCATTCTTTGCTTGACCACTTCCCATTTAATCCTGACTAGCGAGGGTAGGATGATGGCGATTTTTGTATGCAGTCTTACCCTTAAATATTTTTTACTTTCTTTTTCTCTTATTTATTTTTATTTTCACTTTATTTTATTCTTTTTAATTGTTTATTGCTATTTTTTTAATTTATTTTGTTTTATATATATATATATATATTATATTTTTATTTTTTCCCCTAATCTTTTTGTACTTTTCATTTGGGATAAAGGTGATGTTAATGTTGATTTTGATTCTCTGCTTGACTGCATTACTGTTCAATCATGATATATTATGTTCCATTGGCATCTTGCACATGTTTGCATATGAGAGGTGGATTTGAATTCTTTCATTCCCAAATGGTTACCTTTTTTATATTTTCAAAATTTTAATACCTGCGATCTTTGTGTATTAAAAGTCTAAATATCCAGTCCCGATCATATCCAAGGACCATAGGTTGAAATCTGTCACCTATTTGGTTAGAATGTTATGATTTTTATAATGCTATCAGTCTTGTTAGGTTAGAAGTCTTATTGGTTTAGCTTGTTCTGGCAGTATTACACAAATAGTTGACCTAATTATTAGCATAAAGTGGGTCATTGGCTTTGGGTTAATATTTTATTATGAGCTTCCTTTCTCTCTTTTCTTCCTTCCCAACCCAAACCCTATAATCATGCTTAGTTCTTTATTTTGTTTTTCACTATTCTCTTGCATGGAGATATGTATATTTCGTTGGTAATGCTGAACAGGTGATTCTTTCACTTGTATCCAGGCTTTGCATTTCTTTCTTGGATACTGCATGGAATCTTGCCCATTTACTTGGAGATTCAACCTTTACTGTAAGTAATGAGTTTAAGCTTTCACTTTAACTATATATTCTTTTGTTTCATTTATTCCTGTTACAGTAGGAAGTTGCATGGTTATTCCTGTACTACTTTAGGTTTGTTTGGCTATCTTATGCGCTGATACACAATTTTGCTGTATACTTTAGGCTGAACAAAGAAGGTTAACGCTTTATGCTGCTTTGTTTCTCCCACTTAGAAATATCACTTACACAGAAAAGAAAGCTAAGAAGGTACGTACCTGTTCCTTTTCTATGTAGTAATATTTGTAATTTTGTAATATTAAGCTGTAAGTGCATAACTTTGAGCTTTGTGCTTTGAATTGGCACATCTAGCTTAATGTTGATATTAGATTTTCAGCTTGATGTTGGTGGTTGTTTTGGAGAAAATACCAAAAGCCTATGAATGATCAAGAAATAAAAAATATTGTAAATAAAAAAGTTGTGGCTTTAGAAGAAAAATAAAAGAAAAGGAACATGTGCTTCAAGGAACATGTGCTTCAAGGAAAAATGCGATGACTATGATATGCATTACAAGACTATACGTGTTAGGATCCTAGAGCAGCAAGAAAACCTATGAGAAAGTTCTTTTTTGTATCTTATTATGACAACATAAATCTTATGTTAAAATCACGAACATGACAAATATTGATACCTTCAACCTAAGATGGATCCTTTGATACTTATATTTATATCAATTCATTTGTACTTAGTATTGTCAGACCTAGTCCAGAAACCGTTTGTCTCCACCCTTTTGTCATGAACTCATGATCCAGGCACAGATTTTAAATCAAAGGAAAAGATGCCTCAGACTGCCAAGAGCCTGTACTTTAGCAACTGGACAATCTCACCTAGCTGAACCACCTCTTGAAGCTTACACTATGAATAGAGGACCAACAATTTGTATAAGGCATCACTTTTTCTTACTTCATTACCCCCTGGTGTTCGTTTGGAAACCTCAATGGAGTAAAAAGGCTTTACTAGCCGAATGTTGTGTATTCTAGCCAACAAAAGTTCATTCCACTCCTTATCTTTTTCAAGCATTATTTCTAGTTTATTAGCATTATTTTGCCTCCTAGTTTTTAGTAACCTGGTTTTCTCACAATCAGTGTTTTGGAAATATTTCGTATTAGATTCGATACATAGAGTCCTGAAATTGCATTTTTGTTGGACTATCATGTGACAGGATTAAGGATAGCAATCAAATTGAGCCATTTGACAATTTTTTAAGGGATAGGTTGGCTCAATTTAAGGCTCATTTCTATTTAGTTCAAGTTGGATATGATACTCAGTTACATAATCAAGCAAAGCTTGAACACAAGATATTGTGCTCTAGTTAGCCAGCAGGTCAGTTCAATAACATGTCCATTATATTTTATAATATCAGAATCTTAATAAATACAATTAAACTTATTTTTTATTTATATAATTTATTATTTTCCACCTACCCCAATTAATTTGGGATAAAGGTGTTGTTGATAATTTATTATTTTATTTTTTAATACTGCTAAAATGTAGAATATTATATAAAGCACTTGGTCTTTAATATATATATAGGGATAGGATCCGTTTAAATTTTTTTTTTGCAAATTACACTAAGTACGACCGGTCGTACACTGCATGATTAAAGTATGACCGGTCGTACTTAGTGTAGTTTGTAAGAGTTTGTAAACAAAAAAGTTTGTAAATATAACCTGCCCCATATATATATATATATATATATATATATATTTTGTTGGAGATATGCCAATCGGTTCATCGCTTCGCGACTAGTTTGATTCGGGGCGGGTCCCGGGATTAAGGCTTTGAACCCCTCTCAAAGATAGTACTAGAGAGGATCGAACACATGCTCTCACCCCCACCTGTTCAGTTTCCTGACGCCAAACCAATTGAGCTACCATCATTTGGTTAATATTTACTTTTTTGAAAGCTACATGTTTCGCCTTATTATTTCACATGTTTCCTACTTATAGTGAACATTTCAAGATTGTTGAAATATAATGCAGATTTTTTGGTCAGTTTTCGTTCAGTTTCTATTTTTGAAACCTAAGAAACGATTATGTCATCATGTAATCAAATAATTTTTTTTTGTTACCTAGTTGTAGTTTGTAGACACTTCTTATAGCTTTAAAAAAGAATTTTAAAATTATAATTAGATTTTGATGGCCTTTAACACATGTATACCAGAGGAGGAGAAAAGGGAAAGGAAAATGCGCTGGTGGCTGGTACGTGTGTGTGAGAGGAAGGGGAGAAACACTGTTATGAGTAAAGAGAAAGTTGTGGAGGAAGTGTATACCAGATTATACATGTGGAAGCAGGGAATCATAGAGGGAAATTCTGCAATGATGAGAGAGAGAGTAAAGAAGAGGAGGGAGAAGGGGGTTGGGGGGGGGTAACAGAATTTTGGGGAATCGTTTGGGGAGGTAATGTATGTAAATACAGCACTGAATCTGATTGTTCTTTTATTTGCTGCATTGCTTTTCTTTGTTGTTCATTCTGCTCAATTTCTGTTACCGAGTAAAGTTATCAAATGCGGATTGCGGCATATCGCGGCCAACCCCAAAAAACGCTATAGTGCTATAGTGAGTTGTGATTGCGGAAATAGCGGAATAGATATATGACACATAAATAATGACAAAAAGAAACATTTTTTAAAGGCAGAGGTAGCAAAAGTGACAGAGAGAGATGCAGATAGACTAAAAAACCCTTAAAATTTTCCTGTTACACATTTAAATTTAGGACAAAATTGACATTTTGCCTTATGACATCAATATGGCCGTGATTTGGCTGCAAATGTGATCGCAATGGCCACTATTGCATTCTGGTGCGGCGTGGTTTCTTACGTCGAGGCTCCACAACGTCCATACGACGCGGCTCGCGACGCTATTGCGGTGCAATTAACTAGCACAACTTCGTTTCTGTAACGGAGAGTTTTCTCCTTTAGTTTTATTTTATTTTATTTTCAGTATAATTCCATTTTCTATCAGAATTTAACTGAGCCAAGCCAAACCTTTGTGCTCAAATGCAGTTATTTATTGTTCAGCTCGAACAATCATCCTGGCTGAGTTCCACCCCTAAAGAGTGGAGACTGCTAGGTGTGCTGTGTGTGTTCAATAGGGTGTATGATGATCATTGTACCCTGTGTCTGTTCTTGTGGTTATTATTTCAAATGACTTGTTGGTTGAATAGCCTAATACGTGATTCTGAAACACAGATTCCTGTTGTCAATCATATTATCCGCGAGGCTCTCAAGCGAAAAGCTAAGGATGCAGAAATGGTCAGTTTCCTTTTATTTCAGTATTACTTACTCTGGTTGATATTTATGGTGGTTAATGTGTTTGTAATTGTTCCTCAAAATCCAGGTGCTTGATTTACACAGAGCATCATATAAATTCTTGTCATTGATTCCTTGTCTTTCATCTGCTGAGGATGTCCAAATTGTTGATCTTGATTGGATGACCGACTTGATTGATGTTCCCGTCTCTTCTAGAGTCCGGGTATTAACAGGTACAGTTTTCTTGCATTTCTACCTTGGTTTTGCATTGGTAGCATGCTTTTTCTTGTAGCTTAGCTATTGTTGACCTTAATCTTCAGTTAAAGCCTTTTTCATATTGACATATTGTGCCATAGGCTGTAGTTTATCATGATTCTATGTGTTGTAGTTTCAATTTAATTATTGGCTTTATAGTGGAAAGTAGGCACAGGCCACACTCCCCCTTAATTCATTTTTGCAGTCACATTTTTCCTATGTTATAGTTTTGCTTTGGTCAAGCCACAGGCAACACTTCGCCTGTTAAGTAATCAATGTTTTTTAAGCCACTTGACTAAATTGCATCGATAAAAGAAGGAAAAAGAAAAGATAGGATTTCCTTAAATAATGGGGGAGTAAATTAGATGAAGTGTTGCACTGTGATTCTTCCCTGCTCTTCTGTGTCTGTTTCTATTGGAAGTTGTTGCTAAGCTATTGTGCTTGCAGCATTATGAATTGTATCTGATATACCTGAGCTTTTATATTTTTTATTTAGGGTTTCTCTTAAGAGAGCTTAGAGATTTTTGGCGTGTTGCACTGTTGATATCTACAATATTACATCCCATTGACATTAACAGCATTGAGGATGAGCCTTCTCAGTTGGGCAAACGAAGAGATCTATTTAATACTGTGGAGAATTCTATAATCAAATTAGGTGAGCTTAGTGGCTCTTTTTGTCAATTCCATGATAGTATTTGCTTGTAGTTTAAATACTTGCATTCTCTCGTGCTTTATATCTTTTGAAGAAGTCAAGTGCTTTTAGCATTTTCTGTAAATTTACTGCAGCTCCTACTTGTTTTGTCAACCTTACTCATATTAATACCCTATGTTTGTAGAGCATTTGAACTTGTATTTCTTTTCTCTGTTATATCTTAACTTGTTAATGTGTTTCTTTGATCTGAATAATTGAATGCTCAGTTTGGCTAATGATTTTTTTCTTCCTCTGTTTTCCTTTGGATTGAGATGCTTTGCTCTAATACAGGAAAGCTTTGTTTGCACTTGCAGTGCAGTCATATCAAGAAGTTAACTAAAATAAGAGAGCTTAAATGAGTTGTTTAAGGTGAAGTGTGATTGGGAGTTTACATTCTTTGATGTGAAAATGCTCTCACAGACACTGCAGGCATGCAACTGTTTGAAATAGTGGCAGTTCATTTCAATGTGAATGTCAATGAAGTATTTTTTTTTTGGTAAATTGAAAAGTAAAATAAAAAACAAAATTGATTGCTTATCATGTCATGTCATGTCACGCCAAGATGAGATTGTGTTTGACAAAGATGTGTTTACTGTATGTGGATGTTGTCAAATAGTTTGCTAGGCCCCAAATTACTATTTGATTAACACATCTTGGTGGATGCCAGGCCTTGAGAAAGTATGGGACCTAAAACAATTGATCAATGGCAAAGATGTTATGAATGCCCTACAGCTTAAAGGTGGACCACTCGTTAAGGAGTGGGTAAGTCATTCTGCTTGCTGCATTTTCACTCACACAGGCGTGCACACTGCCTAGAAATTGGTTTTTATAACCTGTTTCATTTTCACTTGCAGCTGGATAAGGCAATGGCTTGGCAACTTGCTCATCCATCCGGAACTACAGAGGAATGCATTGAATGGTTGAGACAAACCAATTCTAAGCGCATAAAGTTGGAGTGAGGTTGATTGCCTTGAATCTTGATCACTTGTCCATTCCTTTTCCATGTTATGGAAATAATTGAGAGCACATGTGCCTTGGATGGAGGAAGCTTAGCCACCTGGCTGTGTGGTGTAGATGATAACAGTAGTACTTCAAACACCCTTCGCTTGAAGTTGCGCCGCTCCCAACTTTATAAAGCCTGGGGAAGTATTATTTATTTACCTCTTTTCCCATACTTGTGAAAGAAGAAAGGATGAGAATAGAGATACCGTGGCCTATTTTTGTTTAATGATAGTCTTGTACTCTTAAGTACCTCACATTCCCTCCCCCCCCCCCCCCCCCCCAAAAAAAAAAAAAAACTATAAACATATTGGCAGGTTAACCCGCAAACCTATGGGCTAATTTAGACTGAGCTCATGTTGACTTTTTCTTTGACGCGTTCAAAACACGAGCCAACACGGTCCGAGTCGTTTACTCACTAAGGAATGGAACGATGCAGATTGGGTTGGTCCGTTACTCCCTCTATTATATATTGGTCTCAAATTCTTAAAAAGAAATAAATTAGAATAATTATAAAGCCTATCTTGTGAGTTTGTTTCTTGCAAATTAAACTTGCAGCTTTTTGAATTTAAGTTTATATCACATTTCGGTTCAATGTAATCTGGCTTATGCCATATAATATTTTAAATCTCATAATTATCTTAAAAATTATAAGGCTTCTTAACTTAAATTAATATTTTTTCCTAACATGATAATATTGTATATAATTTATTTCAAAATACAGCCTTAGTTTTAATTTCTTACTTTTAAAATTTTATAACTTAATATTGAGTCAGTCTATTTACTGGGTTAATGAGTAGTGTTTTTAGTATTTTAGTGAATGAACGAGGAATGAGTGAAAGATTGAGATTATACCATTTGGTACATCTATGTGAGTTCCTCAAGGGGGGATCACGACATTCACCTGAAAAAAAAAAAACTTGAGTTCCGCAGGAGAGAGGGTGCGGGACTCGTTGGATCGCTTGCGGAATTTGAAGACCCTAAATAATAATATATCCCAATCAGATATCAAATTGATACATTTAAAGGTCAAGGATCCCATATAGTGAAAGAGCCTGTCTACAATCACCTACACTACAACGACCCCACTACTAATCTTGGGCGCATAAACCTTTGGCCATAGCATTAGATGAAAAGTTCCAACATGGTTTTATTTTCTAGTGCTATGTAGAATCCATGCTCTGATGCTATGCCTCTACACCACGGTAGTTAAAATTGAAATTTTACCTAAAATTGAAAAGATGATAAAAAATCATAAAACGTAAAATCCTAACGTAAAAATAATTGTAAAAACATAAAAACGTTTAGAATTTTAATGAGATTTTTGATTAAAAAAAGTCATAAAATCATAAAATTACAAATTTAAATCGAGATTTTAACTACCATTCTCTGTACCACCCAATTCCACTTTACCTTATTCTTCAAAGCACGTGACTGGATGGATACGATAGATAGTTGCAAAACGCAAGTAACAAGGTACATACATGCCTTGGGTATCCATTCATCAATCACTTGTCCATCTTGGGGTGTTTTCTCTTATTGATTTTTTCTAAGTTCTAGTAACAAACGGGTGAATCAAATAGCCAAACCCGGTATATCTGAGTCACAAAGCACAATAAGTCATTTTTATCCTATATATGCTAATGCTATCAATGGAGGCGCTGAGGAGGAATTTGTTCCTGCTCATTTCCCATTATCCCTAAACGGCTAAACCAAACCATGTGATAGAAGATTAGAAGCAATGTACTATATACATAATAATGCAATCCAACAAAAACATTTTTCTTGACCATAGAATTTGATATTAGGCACTTTATGAAACAATTCATGACCCTGACCCATCCATCTCTTTGACATAAAAATGGCATCAACGTCGTCACCAGTCTGAACTTTGGAGAGACTTATATCTCCATGATTGTTTTAAATGAAAAATATCTTTTGTTTAAAATAGACAAGAATTTTCTTTTTGAAAAAATATATATTTGTGTATAAAATTTGGTGGCAAATTAAATCACTGATCTTGTATTCCTCCCCTTCTTCCCAGCACTCACTCAGTCACTTCAAACATGTAGCAAATTCCAATCCATGATTAATTCAAGTTGCTTGTTTCATTCCAGGCTTGTCAAAAGATTCCTACTTGATTGAAGCTTGATATGTGAAAGAATACTGAATCATGAAAAAGAAACAAAACTAAAGTAATTAAGAGTTGGTGTGAATTTAAACAATGTTGTTGGCATAGCTTTTGGGGTGATTGGTGGTAGTGGTAGCCTATAGAATATGCATGTTTTCCCTCCCATGAACCATGATTTATCTTTAAAACATCAGAGTGATGGGGGAGTCAATTATCATGGGAAAGACCCAATAGCTGCTTGTCCTTGCTGAAGCATGGCATTTTGCAACTGCTGCGATGCTGACACCAGCCACAGTGCAGGGAAAAAGTGAGGGAGATGACCCCAATGCGATATATTGGGTGCCTATAGAGGCAAAAGTGATGGAGGAGTCTTCCAACGTTAAACACTTTGGTGTCTAACGTTCGGATGTCGATCTGACATGCAGGAACTGTGGTAACACTATTATTGCAAGCTGTTTAGGGCTGAGATGGCTTGGACCTTCAAGGTTGGATTTGTCCAGTTGGGTTGGCCGAAACAAAATTTATACAAGTGTCTCTTGGACAAAATTCATTCAAGTGAACTAATCTTACAACGAGCAAATAAGAGCATCAATCGTAATTTAATTTATTAAATTCAACATAAATATACTATTACTTATTTAGATGAGAGAAAATTATTCTATACATTTTTTTCCAGCTTGTTTATCTCAATAGTTTCGAGAATACCTCATTTTCATTGCAATTATTTTTACTTAATCATATGTCTTTTAGGGAACAAGGGTGCGTTCTTTTCCTTTTAAAATAAATGTCAGTTTTAGTTTGTTTTAACTTATTTTTCATTTAAAAAAATAATTTTTTTATAATTTTTACTAATTTTTCTTTTGTCTTTTGATATATTTATTAAGTAAAATAAAAAAATATTATTAAAATGATAGGGTAATATAGTTAAATAAAATGATATTTTTTACTTCGTATGCTTGATTTAGGAATGATAATTATTTTTAAATGAGAAAAAAATTAACTGAACTGGAAGATAGCTAAAACAAACTAATTATATGATGGGGACTCCTTTTTATACGGTTAATTAATTATTTTTAATGTAGTGAAACAAGTAGCTCATGAAGTTATGATTGTTTAAGGATTCTGCTGATGACTGTGCTTCTTCCACTTCCATGCTCCCACTGAACCCCAGTGTGGTCAACCCAATTTAATGGAAGTCACTGGAGAATTTAGTTCTTTATTCTAGCATTTAAATTTCCTCTTGAGGATATATGCACAAACTCTAGCAAATTAAGTGGATTCAGATGCAGAGCTATCAGTTATGATTGGTGGAGCCCGTTACTCCAAAACAACTGGTGTATGTTATTTAGTGATTAATATAAATTTCATTACTCTTTATAAATTATTTCTGACTAAATATTATTTTAATAGTGACCAAGTAATGAATTGTAACTATAAGTTATTAATGATTAATATTATTTTATCAAAGTATGTATGTCACAAATATTTTATCATTTAATACAAATGAATAATGAATAATTTCAATTTCTCACTAGATTGTAACTAATTATGTAAAATTTAAAAGATATAAAAAAGTATTACAACAAAAAATTAACTTTGTCATTAATATTATAATCATAACAACAAAAGTTGTCTATTAGTTTCCATTACCAATGACAAATTGTTATATCATTAATGATTTAAAGCTTTCGTTTCTTTTATGTCATCCAAAAATATTAATTTCCACTAGAGCATTTTATTATGTTAACTAGGAAGTAAAAAATCAATAATAAAATTATTATTATTCACAATAATTTTTTTTTTTAAATTATTATGTGATTTCATTAATTTAGTTATAATTTTAAATTTAATACATTTTATGTGAAATGTGATTTCATTATTGTGCATGATAAAATTAATTAATGATATAATAATGTCCTTTGCGAAAGACCATGGTGGTGGCTAGAGGTGGCAAAGTGGGCGGCCCGCCTCACCCCGCCATCAACCCGCCAAAAAATAAGTCAGCCCGCCTCGCCTTGCTTTTGAAAATGGGCTCAAAAACTTAGCCCGCCTCGTCCCGTTTGGCGGGTTGGCCCACCAGCCCGAACCTATTTTACACTGACCCGTCTTGGTCCGCTTATGCCCGCCATCAACCCGCAAAAAAATGAGCCCGCCCCGTCCCGTCCCGCTTTTGAGATGAGTTGAAAAACTCAGCCCGCCCCGTTTAGCGGGTTGGACGGGTTGGCCCGTCGAGCCGAGTCCGTTTTGCCGACTCTAGTGGTGGCGTGGCGTCCATCGCCGCCGGAGTGCAATTCGGGTGGGCTTTACAGCTATCCCTTCTCACCCCTTACGTCCAGCTCCTCGGTATCCCTCATCAATGGGACGCTTTTATCTGGCTCTGCGGCCCTATTTCCGGCATGCTTGTCCAGCCCATCGTTGGCTACCACAGCAACCGTTGCACCTTCCGCTTCGGCTGTCGTCGTCCTTTTATCGCCGCCGGCTCCCTCGCCGTCGCAATTGCCGTTATCCTCATCGGCTGACTTCGGTCACATGTTCGGCAACTCACGCATGCATCCGATTGTTCTCACATTGAAGAAAGTTGAAAATAAAATTCAAGAAGAAAAGCTGATCAAGTGTGATCTATCCTCAGATACAACCCAAAAGACTAGTAAAATTAACACAATTGAATAGGGTTTTGTGAATTTTAATTTACAATACAACCATTAAATAATTTAACATTATTGCAAAGACTACGTATAATTTTTGTTTTTGGAGACAGACTATGTATATATTAAGCAGATAGATAGTGCTTAGGCATGCAGAAATAAATTAATATTTTTAAAATTACTGGTGGATTTAATGAATGCTATTTATGCCTCACTAATTTATGTATATATTAAGGAGATAGATAGTGCTTAGGCATGCAGCAATAAATTAATATTTTTAAAATTACTAGTGGAATTAATGACTGCTATTTATGCCTCATTAATTTATGTATATATTACGAAGATATATAGTGCTTAGGTTGCATCCGTCTCTTAATTCACATCAATCACTGCTATTTATGCCTCATTAATGACTTAAATATTTTTTTTATGTAATAATTTGTCAGAAATATTAAATATCAATTATTAGTAGTGTTTAAAAACCCGGCCCGACCATCGACTCAGCTGAGATCAGGGGTCACGGGTTCGATTAGGGGGTCACGGGATCACTTCGCTGACCCGGTTCTATACACTAAAAAAATATAAATATATATCCTATATGAAAAATTCAAAAAAATCAAACCACCAATCATTAAAGATTCAAAATATACTTAATATAATTCAACCAATTACATCTACAAGTCAATATTCACAACTTA